TATTTTTTTTTTTTTTTTTTTTTTTTTTGTTGGGGGGTGGGGGGGGGGGGGGGATGACGGAGTGTTAATTGAACATCAGTTGTTTAAAATTGGGTTGTTTTGCAATTGAACTAATTACTGTACTTTGTGGTATTGTTTTGACCTAGGAAGAGGGGTATTACAAAATTATTGTACAAATGTACAAATAACTTTGCTTGCCTCAATATTTGTTTCAGACTTTCAGTTTACACAGGTGAAATTGTTAACCTTCAATGTTCTTGGAATTTTCTGTACGTATATAGCTTGTACCGCAGGACTTCAAGTATGGCTCCATCACTGGGCATTCACTGCATTGTAGTATATTGGCTACAAGTAAATATGTATCACCTTCTCTTAGAGCACCAAAGAAATGTCAAACTAGTTTGTCTTGATCAAACAGATGACTTGCAGAAGACTGAAATGCAGGCTCAGATCTGTTTACACGTCATAGATCATTATACTTTATCCAGGGTAATGCTCTTCCCTTTGTTTGTGATGACTGCCCAGCCTATTGAATTTGGACTTGTTAATATTTGAAGGAGATGACCGTGCGAAATGGTACTTCAATGTGGACTTGGAGTGACCAACTTCTTTTTTAAGAAATGAAATGTAGGGGAAACGTCATGCAATTTGTTTCGATTTTTGGCCCATATATGATTAAATACAAAAGCCTTTGTGTACATGTATTTATGATTCTGGGACACCTTGATAAAAATTATGCGTACCCCTTTGTCTACATTTTAAAATATTGAATTGAACTGAACTTTGTTAAAGGTACTATGTCCCTTTTGCAGCCAACCTCAAATTCTGTAGAACTTTGCAGGAATAATGATTATGTCATGTATGTCCTATCTGTGAAATTTAAACATTAGCAGTGTCCTCATATTCAAATTCTGCAAGGAAACCCGTTTACTTGCTAGACTTCACTGTCAGACACTATTGAGTGACTGACTGGCTTTTTTCCTTCTTTGGTAATAACATACATGAAAAGAGTTGTAAAGGGTACATGAGAATTTGTCTACGTCAATAACCCACTTCTTGTGATGGCCAAGATTAAACTGATTGAATCTTTGCCCAGCATAAAACGTATGACCATTCAGTACAATTGTCTGAAAATCAAGACTTATTACTTTTGGGCTCTATAGCCCTAAAGTCGATTTGACAACTAATAGTCATAATTTTCCCACTTGAAGACATTTTCAAGCCCCACCTTTTTTAGGGAAGTTCTAAATTAGTATTATCTTTCAAATGCAGTTGGAATTTAACTTTTTCATTTTTTGGGCCTGCAAATGGGACATAGTACCTTTAAAGTACATTGTGTAGGTACATGTAGTTATACTTTTGGATAGATGAGCTTATGAAATTGTGTGGTAAACATCATTTATCGTTACAATTTTTTGTAGGTCTCATTGTTATAGTAAATATATCATTTTCCAAAATAAGGCAAATCCATTGAAGAAAAAAAAATATTTGCACTTTGTAGTATGTACAAAATTTCCGCTTCCTTCTTTAGACATTTTTGTTTTCATTGTAAAAGAGGGTCTATTTGTTTTTTGTACACTTCCAATTGTTCAAATCCGTGAAGCTGGCTTGAATTTGAAAGAATTATAAGCATCATGAGTACTGTATATATTAGCTATTTCTGCATTCTTTTTATTATCCATTGCATTGCTTCCTTCTACATGTAATAACAGGATACAAAGATTTACAAAAATATCTACCGGTACTTGTACAAAAATAATCATATTTATTTAAGGAACAAAACTATATCTTCATTCGTTTCAGGTATTGTTTTTGGCTCGTATTCAAAATCTGTACTCTAAGGTAATCAGGAATGATTGTGACCCTTCTTTTAAAACTCATTTGCTCAACAGTCAGAAAGGAAATTATAGGGAAAAATGAGGCAAATCACATTTGATGATGTATCATTTTTGTTGCAACTTTCCAGTTTGTCTACTTACTTACTTACTTACTTGGTATACTTGGTAGATTAGCCCTCTTTTCCTAAGGGAAAGGCTCTCAGTTGACTTTTAAAAGTAATGAAGTAATGAAGATAGATTTTGCATATATTGAACCACTTTTATCAACTTTTTGAAAATCACATGATATATTAAGATATGTCACAAAGTTCCTTTGTCTATAATGAGCATCAGCTGATACACATCTAGGTAATCTGTTTTTTAAAATTCTAGTTACCGGGTATTGCAATATTGCACCTTGTAGCCTGCATATACATGTACATACATGTATACATGTCCGGCAACCTTCCATGCAAACATGTGGAGCCTATACATATGCTTCGCCCTACAAACACGTCTGTCAGCCCTGTTTGATCAAAATGAAACAGCATGTCCTTACATATTTCAAGAATTTCATTAAGTAGTTTATGATATCATTGTACAAACAGACAGTAAGACAGCTGATAAAACTAGGATGTTGCAAGACGTTTTTGTACCAAGGCCAACACTGTATGGTGGACATTGGGCAATACTAGTTGTGTTTACATGGGGTCATTGTAGTAATAAACTAAGTTAGCAAAATTTGAAAGATTTAAAGTTTAAACCAACGACCTAGTAAAAATAACGAGAATTCACACGAAAGTGAAACGATAAGTATTCAAAGTTTATTACTTCAATCTGAGTAAGTAGTTGTAGTCATCACATTAGCCAAAACATAGTTCAGGGTTTGTAACTTTGAGTAAACTTAAAGTGTGTCCGCACTCTGCACTCCACACAGTCCTTAACTAAAAATTAAAAAAATTAAATTAAAATTCGTGTGAACCTAGCTACTGATTCAAAAGTGAAACCAGCACAGATGGCGTGACCGAAGAGATGAGAAAAGATCTAGAATGTAGACATGTGGGCTGTCTACCGGCATTGACCAAGAGCCCTCAGTATACGGGTATCCACTTCAAGCTGCTTACGGTACTATTCATGGCATGTGGATAATTAATGATTCTTGTTTGTTTCATTTCAAATTTATTCATGAATATGTAGGGTTAAGGGACTCTTTTCTACAATTGCTGGCGTCCTTGTTTTGATTAGTAGAAACATTTTCATTACATAGATAGTAAGAAAAAGGATTCAGGATAAGGAACTCCCATTAATGAAAGAAAATGTTTTATTTATTAGTTATGTGCCCAAGACAGGGTGAACATGACAGTTAGGCATTTTCAGTTAGTAGCCCTTAAATACTAGTAGGTAAAATTGATTCCTCCCCGTTTCTGTTGAGAGTCAGAAGGTATTAAACTCTGTGTTAAGGTATATATGAGTTTAATAGTACCCTTCTGGCTCCAAAGAGATGACATGGTCTGCTAGTTACAACAAGAGCCTTACTCAGTGTTACGGGGTATTAATGAGCACTCGTTATCATAGCAGACATAACAAATAGGTATGCAGATGAAGTTGTCAAATTTTATGTCTTTTATCGCACTTTCAGTTTCTGGCATATTTGGAATACCGTACCCTTTTAAAAATAGCTGCATCACTTGATTAAAAAAATATGACTATGATACTATATCCTTCAGGATCTTGGCACTTAAGAATATCAAATGCCAAGCTACATACCAAGATATATGATGGCAAATATCATAAAGCAAAGTCCGCGATTTTTAGATGACCTGTGCTCATGCATATTTTTGTTAAGGCTTTACTAAACCTTGCAATACGTCAGCATGATGGTAATAAATTGACATTGCATAGTGTCACTAATCAATAAATAGATGTTACTCGGAAATAGATATTGACATTGAAGAAACAGTGGTGGCAGATACTCTCTCTATCAGTATCAAAGCTTTCTTTCTTGAGGCTATTGACTATAACTGTCTTAAGTCTCTTACTTGAAGACTATGAAATTAACCTAAAATCTTAGATAATTATTAATCTGTTCTGCCCTTGTGGCATTAATTTATATCTTAGGCCTAATGAAAATAATGCATCGTCTGCATTTTTTATCCTTACAGCCATTCTCTAATATACAGTCCATGTGCATATTTTGTACTTGCATGAGGGGAGGGAGGGATTGGCCATTTTGTATTATCATTTGAAACAGTTTAGATATTTTGTTATCATGATATCAGAATGTATTGTAAACGAAAAAATGTACCATTATGCAAAAATTAATCAGTACACAGTGTGCTAGCGGCCTATGCCCTCCATCAAAATGTCCTTTACGATATCGATTTTCTGTTTTGATAACGAGCGAAAGATTTTGGCTAGATAACATTGTTTAGGTACCGAGCAAATATGTAGATAATCTAGATTCATGTTTGCCTCGTGGGATAAAAGGTGTGTTTCGCAGATTCAAGATCATGGTAAATTCCCCTGTGGGTTTTTTTTTCTTTTCTTCTCTCTGTGAGTATGTTTGCACTTTGCGCTTGCACTCTTTCACATGTAATGGAGGACTGCTATTGGATTTCACTGAATAAACAAAGAGCTTGCCATCCTTTGCACTGCTCTGAAGTGTTTTTTGTACTGTGAGCTAGGGCATCATTCATTCATGTTGGCAACATGTAACCTAGTACAAGTACCCGTAATGTACACTGTTTATTCTAAGATGGTATTTGAACATCGCAACATTAACCTTTGTGATTTCTCTTTCACCCACTCTTGTCTCTTCCCTGCTTCATCTTGTGATTCCACTCTCGCCCTCTTTCTCTCTCTCCCCTTCGTAACCTTTTTCCTTCCACCATTCCCCGGTCTCTTTTCCTCTTCTTTTTCTTTTCCCCCTAATTCTCCCTCCTCCCTCCTCCTCCCTCCTCCTCCCTCCTCCCTACCCTCTCTTTCCTTCTGTGCTCTACTGCTCTTTAACTATCCTTCTACACCCTTTCTCCTTCTATTACCCTCTCTCCCCTTTCACCCCATCTACCATGCTACACTTCTCTCCCCTCCCCTCTCCTCTCCCCCCTCCTTTCTCTCTCTCTCTCTCTCTCTCTCTCTCTCTCTCTCTCTCTCTCACACACTATTCCTCTTGGCCTGTAACAGGAAGATGAGGATTACCCTATAGAGATTGACATTGACGACCTTCTGCAACGCAGCAATGCTGAGAGACAGAAAGAAGTAGAGTCGCTCCTTAGAGATGCAACGCAACCCTCAGAGGTAAAAGGCATTTTATGAAATTTGAGCCCCCAGCCTTCCCCCTTCCCCCAGCCTCCCCCTTCCCACCAAATTTACCCCATCCCATCTCAGCTATTTCAGGGATTCCAAATTCACAGCCATGTTGCTTCTCAATATCAGGCTTCAGGGAATTTTACGATGTAAAGAACGTCTGAAGCTGCAACATGGCTGGATTTATTACGTACAGGCTAGCTAAGTGAAACCATCTCTGATCCACAGCAACAGTGCATTGTTAAGTGCTAAAAGCATATTGCTATTTAATATTTCAAATGAATTTTATAGGGATACATGTATATCATTAGAGATCATTTACATAAAATGAAATGCGGAAATGATAGCATAAATCATATTGCTATCATTTCCATAAAAGATCAGGCAGATGCATGCACTAGGGAAGCATATTGGTATTTCTTCAATTCATTTTATTTATTAAAGGACAATTGAAAGAAATTTACCTACATGTACACCATAATGAGATACATTTAGGCAGAAAACCAATTTAGTATACAGCAGGTCATTATAGTCCGGATGCTAAATGAGCCAATCCTTCCCTGTCTTACTTCATTAATTATCAATTCAATTTTACCACAATTCCCCAAGGGTCTTTTATTTCATTTTTATGTTGGCACCTAGACATTTCTTTATTGTTATAAATTGGATATGCTCCATGACAGACAAAAATATCTGGAGGCTTCAGCTGCAGGAAAGCTGTCGTTATTACCACAGTTCCATGACTATTCTTTTATGTCACCCTTACATCATTACCTATACAGTAGACACATATTTTGTTGTTACAGTATTATTATTGTTAAATGGATGTGCTTTGTGACTGAAAAGAATATCTAGAAATTTTGGCTGAATCATAGCTGCTTTTGTTACCATGATTGCCTGGCTGGTCTATTATTTCACTTTTACATCAGCAGCTAGACACGTGGCGTGTCATGGAAAAATGATCATCAATCTACCCTTTTGACACTTTTATGACCCAAACAATTTTTATTCAACATTTGGATATCTCCTGGAAGCATGATTAATACTGCCCTTTATTTTTGAGACTATTACAACGTCTGGATTTATAGTAGACCATTTTCGTATTGTAACAAAATCGAATGCATACATCTTTGTAAAGTGCCTCGACACTAAGTACATGTATTTCATTCATCCGTTACAAATTATTGTATTTCAATAGTCAGAATGTGAACTGCATACATTAGTTGTTGCCAGGTAGGATAAATATTATGGCTTGCCTTTACCTTAACAACACATAATAGGCATTTTGTATTCTCACTATTATCATTTGTACTGAGGCACTTTAAAATTATTTATGCATTCAATTTGGGAACATTACGAAAACAGTGTATTGAAACACGATGTGATTTGTAATGCCTTGCCTTCATCAATCACATTGGCAAAGATTGTCAAATATATACCTCCTAGCGCAATTTCTATTTCATATGGTTTGTCCAAAGATTTCATGGTAGTGTTTATAGTGTACACATATGTCAGTAGGCGGTGTATTCAGGAATTTGTAACTAATTGTTGACAGTAGGCCTGCCTTCATCAGCTCGAGTTTGCCAAATAACCCGCTATTTCAACTATCCCAATCGCAAATTAACCAGTTAATTTGCCACTTCATCAGCCTGTAGTGGCAATTAGCGGGATATTTGGTCAAGAAAATATCCTGAAAAATCTTGGTCTTGTTTCCAAAATATTCGGCTATTTGGGAAATAGCTGGCTGATTTTCGCCCGTCTGAGCTAGTTTGTGATGAGCGTATCGAACTGGTGAAGACGGTATTCGAGCTTTGGGATAATATCCCGAGTCTGAAAATAGTGGGTTATTTGGCAAACTGGAGGTGATGAAGGCAGACCTAATGGGAAATTTTACTGAATTGTTTACAAACTTTAATGTCATTGTTTACTGAATATTTTCCATCATTTTGTCTTCTTTCCGCTCCAGGAATTCATCTCGATATTACTCACGAGAGTCCTAGAGCTACAGAAGAAATCAAACATCATGAGCTCACCGGGTGCGGCTCAGAGCATAGATTTCCAATTATGAGAGGGGACTCTAGGAAAACATAAAGCACGGACACTCGCGGTCATCGTCTCTTGTAAATATGTACAAAATGAAGGAACAGAGATACTCAGATAAGGAATGGACGTCTATATTCACTTCCTTGAATCGGTCTTTCTCGTGGTTTCTTTCACTCAATCTCAGAAGGATTTTTATTCACTTCCTCGTTGTCCGCAATCGTCGTCATAGCGTGAGAACATTCTGAAAGCAAAATCTGGATATTGGTTTCTAGTTATTAATACTTTCTTTTCTCTCTATCCATCAAAAGCTTGTATGAATTGTAAACTGATTGTTGGATCTCGTATTTAAATCACTGTTTGTTCTAGTCCCATTGAAGCTTTTTGACAATGAAAGCTCATCTTCAGTTCAGGTAGCAAAGGAAGAGAACATTCTCACGGGATCAAACAAAAACTTTTTGAAATAATATATTTATGTAGGCATACAAAATGTGTTGAAACAGCAGACTCTTACTGAGAGCTCTGATTGGCCAATAAAGTAGGTCACTGCATCTCAGAATATGTTCAAATTCATAACTACTAATAGATAATATCTGCCAAATGTTTCTGGTAGGAATTATTGTGCAGTTGTAGAGAAATGAACAAAGAAACTTGATAAAAAATCTCCCACAGTTCAAATGAAAATTGCGCTTTTCATTACGCGATCTCTTCAAGCATGATTTCAACTCTTTGTTCAATTTTGCAGATCCGAACAACAAATGTGATGCTTGACATACAATTTATAATAACTTCAAGCCATTTTTCTAAATGATCTTTCCCTGATTCCGTATGTACTAAATGGACTTTCTTCTTTTCATGTATGACGTACATGTAGATATTTATAGACGGATTGCAGACTGCTATATTGACACAGTGCTCTGATCATGATTTACTGTAGAGTTAAATTATTCAGAGTAACAGTGTTTTTGTTACGTACCATATATCTTTATACATTAAGAAATTGTTCTTTGTGACATGTTCCTGTCGTTGAGGAGATCTTTATGATTATTTTGTCTTCTCATTTTGTCTTTCCAGAAGAATTGAATTTACTTAATATTTCAACAAATTTCTAAAAACATGCATGGAATAGGTGTGTTCAGACTGGGGGTTTATATTCCAGATATTTATTATTAACTAGTCACTTAGTTTTTCACAAATCTTGTCATTTGTGTACTGATCAATTAGCAAATTGGGAAATAAATATTTTCTACTCCCAGAGATATCATTCAATAACAGAAACATTTTATTGGATGATTAAGAAGAATTGTAGAAAGAATCAATTTCTATAGCATCATTCTTCTGGCATAATTTTAACAAGCTCTAACATAATTTTAGAGTAATTCGAATAAGCAGGATTTCATATCTATTAAAATGTCTTCGGTTGAATATTGAAACGATTGTTGATGATAGCAAAAGTTCATAGTTTTCAATTCACCTGTATGGAATATGGAATTGACCCTATTAGTCCTTAGATCTTGTAATATCATGTGCAATGATGCTCAAAGCGTCACCAAGGATGATGGGAAGGTTGCCAATCAGACAAGGTCAACTCGCTTGCTCCAACCTACCTACATACATGCATGCACGGCAGAAGGAAAGATGCCAACATTTGATACGTTTTGTGTCACGTTACATGATCTACATGCTCTTCACCGTATGGGTGCCTCCCCCTCATCGTAGCACGAGCCAGCCAGCCGAGCGATTAAAGCCCAGGAAGAAAGACGATTCAACGGAACAAGATTCCCACGTGTTGAGTGATTGGTAGAAGCCTACATGAGCTCCAGCTCTAACCATTAGACAGACCTCCATGTGAACTGTGTGCAGCCTCATCGTAATACTAATTACAGCTGTAGTGTTACAAGCAAATGTATGGTACAACCATGGTACAACAGCAGAATAGTGCCATGAATCTGGATACAAATAGCAGAATGAAAAAAGAATAGAAACATAACTTGGGAAATCATTTTTGATTACTTTTTTTTTACTAAGAATGTTGCAGACCCTAATAACTTTTATGCAGATATTAAATGAATGAGGTGAAGTCTGTATCATTTTTCCCCCCAATGACCTTGTTTTAATCTGGTCATAAATACAATCTTTTTCCTATGCTTTGATTGTGATTTAAGACATTTTTCCTCACTTCCTTAGACACAAAAAAATCAATGTAATGTTAACCTTAGTCATATGATTCAACAATTGTATGCAGATCTTGACAATTAAATGATGTGAAGACAGACATACAATTTGGTAATTACAGTAGTTCTTTCTCTTCGTTAGAGAGTTTCCTGGAAAGTCTTCATGCTTTGCAATCGGAAGCATACAATTTCTGAAACCTCTATGTGGAGGAATTGAGAAGGAACACAGTTTCTACCAGAATGTAATTGATTCCTACCATGTTACACTTCCTTTTATCCTTCCTGTTTTTTGCCCAAATAAGAAAACTCTCCAGGTACGGTATACTGATATTCTTTATTGCTACAGGGTGTCTCATAATAAGGCTTAAACTTATACAGTTTGGTTTTCTCTTGTATACCGGGTATCCAGTTATCCTCCATTTTGTAGTACATATATTTGTCAGTTTTTATCGGAAAGGAAAAGTCATTGTGGCCTTTACAGACAACTCATTTTTGGATTTGATTTACGTAACGCATTTTGAAAGACAGCTGATCTTGATAATCTCAGGCCTGGTTTTATTGATCCTACTGCTCCCCAAATACATGATTACAGAATGAACTGTTTTTTAATAATTTTATTTGTTTAACTGCTGTCTAAAATTTGATCGTGTGATTGACTTGATCGTTCTTCCACCCTCATGTTTTGGTCTTGGAAGATGGTTAATTTTGAGGAATATTTTGCAATAATTCATTTTAGTGTACCATAATTTTTTTTCTAAAATGCAGTCATACCTGTACGTGAAAAGAGTCCCTTTTCCTTTGTAAAGTTGAGATATGGATTACAGTGTATCTTATTGAGCATTTCATCAATTAGCATACCGGTGTATAGCCATAGTTGTTGGAATTCTGTTATTACTCAATTTGGATTGGAGCAGGCTGACTTAATGTATTTTTTTAGTATTCAATTGTATATCTAGCCAAAATTTCATGTTTTCAATCTCTTGTACATGTATATTGTATAATGTGAATGAGCCAAAGTTAGGAACGTGTATCCAATTTTGCAATAGGTCTTTACAAAATATAATTTTGTATTATGAATATTGCAGAGAAGAGATATAGAATCTCTTTATAGCTTGTGAATGAGAATTACTCATTAGTGTATCCATCAACCTGTATAAAATCCTTTTAAACAAGTTGCCTTTGATGATTAATGGCCTGCTTAATGAATGTATCTAATGTGATGCCAATTTATTGTATCACCCTTTCAAGGCCAATGCAAGGTTAACAAATTTCCTGTGTCACTCCGGTCACTAAACTTCTACCTGTAATTTTAAGAAAATGTGTACCTACACTTATGCTTGTTATTCACTGTTTAGTGAAATTCTTTGAGATGGCCCTGTATAATTTGATTTCATGTAGCTTTCATGTTTTCATTTTTTAGGTATTCATGTGAAACTAGTAACTAATGAACGTTTATAATGTTTTTTTTTATTATTAAGTATTGTCCTTATAATCAAATGTAATATTTATGGAATTCCCCCTTCATGATTTGTACTGAGAAATAGATAAATTCTGCAATATGTGTAGTCTTTCATTTACATCCTCTTATTTACATCCTGATAATATGGAGCAATGATGTTTGGAAACCAAGAGAAGATTTCAGAATGCAATGTTAGATATTTCGATTGAGAAATCAAATGCAATAAAGGTGTAATTTATGATGACTTGCGAGTCATATATATTTTCTATCTATATAAAGGAAATATTTTTTATCTATTACAGATGAAGAAAATATATATATATGAGTCCTTATACGATTTAAAGTGTATCACTTCTTTCTCACATTGGATCATATTTTTGATGAATACTTACAGATGATAGTGAAACATGTACTTGTTCTAGGAATTTATATTTTGAATATTCATACAAAAAGTGCAACATGTTTCAGGGAAATTTATGTTAATCACCAAGTCAAAGTGCATAACGGTTACAGCTCAAAACTAGAACAAAAATTGCTACATTTATTTTGTAATCACAAAATCTTAGTTCATCATAGTTGCAGCTAAAACCTAGAAATTGAAAATGTAGCTATGACAAAAACAAGCGTTTCGTGTCTGATTTGACCTATTCTCTCTCCCACCCACATTTTCTTTCTTTCTGTCTCACTGCAATAACAGAAATGCCATCATCTGGCGGAGGTTAATACAAACATTACATTTAGACGCCAAATAAAGAAATCAAGCATGCTACGTCAATACAATGTTTGTTCTTTGCAATGAGTTTATTTCATAATGATTTCCATGCTTGTTTGCCTGATTGCATGTCAAATAGAACCACACGGATGCTATGGATCGTGAGTTGCATAAAACGTTGAACTTTGCACTGTTTTTCCTGTCAACAAACTCAGAGGTTGACTCCAAGATCTTGGGGAAATTTTGAAATTGTTTCTTTGAGTTGACGTAGTGTACACTTTGAATGCTTTTATGATCACTTAGAAACTGACTTTTTGTTTGTATAACATGACATCCAAGGCGTCCATGTCATACTCTCCCATTGATATCTATTACACATAGTTTTGATTTATAATTCTTTGATGGGACTACCCACCATGTATGAGGTACATGATCACAGAGAATTTCAAGAAATCAACTCAAAGGAATTTCAATAACCTATTAAAACAGAACTCATGTCCGGATTATGTAATATGTCAAGGTTGGTTGTTTTGAGGGTATTCTTTGTGATCATGTTGCAAGTATCTTTTTTGAAGCATTTGAATTGTACAATAAGTGAATAACTTAACCTGATATTGATATGCATCTGAAGTAGTGTTTTTTTTTGTGTACCAGTAAACATTTGGTCAGGTTTTTATACCTACTGTCATAAATGAAGATATAGGAGCTATACATATTTTGATATTTCATATAATTGGCACCTGTTCTGACTGATACAGACTGTGCTCAATTTTCATTTGCACTATTAAGGGGTGTTCACCTATGGCTTGGGGAAACTACAATTTTTTATTTTTTTTTGTCATTGATTAAAAACAAAAACTGTAAATGAATGGCAAGTTGGGCTGAAAAAATGCAGTCCTAGATAAACTCACTATCTGCATGTTATAAAACATTAAAGATGGCTATTACATCCAAATCATTTTTGTTAAATGCCATGATTTTCTTTTCATATGTGAACAAGTCGTGGTAAACCTTTATAGATGCAGGTTGACATAGTTGTGAACTTTAAATGTAAACGTGAATATCCCGCATGGGATATCATGTGTAACCACAGGCCATAAGCTGTGCTATGGTGGCTAAAAAGTCAATAATGTGGTGAATAAAATAACAATTGGGTATTTTAAGTATATTGTTTTTTTTATTAAATTACCCCTTTATTCTTTAGAAAGAAATATTGGCGGGTACAAAGCGGGAGATTTTTTTTTCAAGATTATTTGTTAGAGGGATATCAATCATTCAAAGGTCACAAATCTTACATCTATTTGCTAAAAATGAAGTGGACAATAGAATGCCAACCGGATTGATTTTTTATTCAAATTCGATTGACCCTTGAATTTCTTTTCTTCATATTTTTAACTCGTATATTTAATGAGAATCTTTGATTCTTTATTGTAAAACTGATGATATTAACTCTTTCACGTGTCTGCATATTGGACAATAAGAAAATGGAAGAGGAAAAAAGAAATTTTATGCGTGAAATAAATATCTACTGGTATGTATGCTGTCACAGGTCACACAACTATTTTCCACGAACATTGTAACTTTTTTAGATGTTCAATTTCTAATTGTAATCAAGTTCACATAATACATGCACTATTTTGTAAGTTTGAATTCAAGGTTTTCATTAAATTTATTGTATTCTCTTAAAATATGTTTTGAAATTCTATCTAATCCGCACACTCTCTAAGCGAGTAAGGTTTTTTTAATCAATAATATTGCAATAAACTTTGTTTTTCTTCCTCTTCTTTTAAAAAAATGATACATATTTTCTTTAATTGTAATTGGTGGATTAAGGGGAATTTTCTGTATCTGATTGTCTTTGTTAACTTGTTTTGTTGTGATCTAGTGTTGTGCGTTTAAAAAAAATTATACTCAGAAGTTGCAATCATGATTGTATTTATATCATAGTGTAGATTATGCAGTATTGCGAGTCTTCTCTAATTAATTTCTAATTATTGGGTCTATCAAATCTTCTTCCATAATGCTAATTATTAATTGAAACATTTTTTTAAAATGTGAATTTTTATGCCATGAATTAATGTCCTTCAGCAGAGCATTGTCAATAAAAGATTTTTTTCTCTATATACCTGAAGAATGCGTTGAAACTGTCTTTTATTATACTTGTTTCAATTATATTTTGATGATGCCTTGATATCTCATTTGCTCACACATTAAATCTAGGGGACATAAGGGGGGGCTGAGGTTTAGGCGCCCCCCCCCAAAAAAAAAAAAAAAAAAAAAAAAACACAACAACAACAACTATATTTGGGCAACCAGTATGTCATTATTTGTCATACGAAGTGCCTGATTATGTAATATTTGTGTATATCTTGACTATGATATCTTGATCATGACACCATTTGCCATTATGATAAAAAATTCTGGCTTGATCACTCTGCTGATTCACAATACAGAAACTGGAAAGTTGATAGGGGCCTTTAGTCCCCCCCCCCCCCCCCCCCCCCCCAAATCCCATGGCCAAAAGTGTGCTCATGTGCCGATGACGGAAAATATTTGCTATTCAATTCAAATGAACATTTATTTGACAAACATATTTGACATCTGTTAAAATTAACCAATATTCGGGTCTTAAAACACCATAGTAGTGGTGGAAATCAAAATTCATCAATTCTGACAATAATATTTCAACAACAATTTTTCTATGTGAGAGGGCGCCCGACTTGAATTCTTTATGCAAATGATCGAGTGCAGGAAGTTCCTCCAGATGATATATTTTTTTTACTCGGCGAGCCAATAACGACGTACGGAAACTGATGGCGCTCTTTCACGAGTCTCCTCGATGACACAGAGTGATAAATGGAAGTCAAATGGCAAAATAAAATCCAGAAATGGCTCTTATTACATGTTTTGTGGATGCGAATCCTATATGATTTGAAAATTCGCTTTCGGGATAGAGGTTGCTCTGAAGTCTGACAGATGCAATTAAATATCTTTCACAAATAAAATTAAAGTGGGAGATTTATGCTTAAAGCAAAATGATAAAAAACAAATAAAAAAAATTAGGATAGGTTCTGCGCAAAGTTCAAAAATATATTTTTCATTATTTTTATTTTTACTTTTTCAAAGAGTAAAACTGTAGATGTCTAGTATGCTTTATGTTTGCAATGTTGCTATCGAGTATACAATCTGGAAGGATGAAGATAATAAAAGAAGTGATTGTTCTTCTTCTTTTTTTTTTCTTTGATAGCCTGGACACAAAATAAACGATGCCATATCAGACAAAACTAATCAGAAACATGGGTGTGGGATGCAGAGGGAATGAGGAGAGACTTGTTAAAGACTGCACTACTTGCGCCCTCTATATAGCACACAATGCCTAAGCGGTACCCGTTGGTCCCCCATGATCCCCTTTTTCTTATGTTATTGAGAGCTGATTTGATGCATGAGAATAATTAACCACCTGCCAGTGACCACGCAGGGAGGTCTAATCCCTCCTGGCCAAACTAGTGCAGATAGGCTTAATCACGTCATCATCTCTTCATCTACGGCACCGAGAGACAACTCTACCTGGACCACTATCCCCAGACATCTATGCCCAAACTACTCTCGGACGGACCAGACTTAACCCGGACCGTGACTACCTTCATGATAATTACCACAGATAACCGACCTATAGCTAGCTGAGTATAAAACTATTATCCCTATATAGACGTAGAGATTTATAATAGTCTCTCTTTTATCATAGTTTTCTTAATCTATTACGGGACAGTCATTCAAGAGGTAGTTGTCCAAATATCATTTTAGATTATATCATCAGTTGAGAATGAGAAGTGCCTTAAGTCGAACGTTTTCCTTAGACCTCAGGCCCCTCTCATTCTACAATAATCATGTACGTTTGAAAACACACTGGGAAAACAATCTCTCATTTTCCAACTTATTCCAAGTTGGAATCGTCAAACAGTCTTATCCAATGATACACAGCGAAAAATGTTTACACAACAAGGCCTTAAAAACAGGAAGAAGCAAAAGAAAGATCCGATTGTGAATAATTCCTTCATTTTCGAACCGGATTTAAAAGTTGCTCAACATCGGATCGGAAAATAACAATATTATATCAATAATTAAAAAATAGTAACTATTGGCTTCAATTTGCAATACAGGATTCGTATCCAATACATGCTAAAGCAGTCAGCAATCACTCATGCCTATGCAAATTAAAGACGGTTTTACCAGGGCATGTGAGTTAAAACTTATTGTTGCTGTCTTCGCGAATGTTTGATTTTCTTCTGTTCGGATATCGCAGAAACGGCGACCTAACTCGAGCTGTCACGTCATAATATTGGTTTTGTTCGTGTTTATATTTGTTTTGCGATGTGTACACTGAGACTTATATTACTGCGTGGTGCAGCATTTCTAATCAAGGTCAAAACAAACCTATATGCATTGAGTTCTTATCAGTGGATTTCCTTTCAATGTAGCTGTGGTCAGATTAAAATAATGATAAATTTTACCAGAACGGAGAAAATGATTTATTATTCGTATACACTATATTAGCAATATCAATCAACTGATTCTGTTTTACTTTTAGACTGGGAAAAAAAAATCAACGGTACACCCAACTACAGGGCTTGCCAATCCAGACCGCCTGTGTCTCCTATTGCCTTCTTTTAACTACAGAATGTTGATAATGTCAAAGAGATTTTTTTGTTGTTGGAAATCTTCACTATTTTAATATGTTATTTGTTTAGCTTTAGAAATAGTGGCGGATCTAGGTGAGGGCCGAATCAGCCACTTTTTATGGCGGCCTAAACAAAAATTTAAAAAATAAAAGAGAAAAGGGTCATAGAGAAGAAGGAAGGAAAACGAAAGAGAAGGGGGGGGGGGGGGAGAGAAATATACTATACTAAAATGTGCTACTCTTAAAGGTAAAGACCAGTATTGGAAATGCCCCAATTTCAAAAAATGAAATGGAAGCTCTCATTACCAATCATATGAAAGAATATGTTTTGACTAATACATGATGATAAAAAATTTGCCGGGAAACCGCCTATATACTAATTCATATATTTGGTAAATTTGTTTCTCTCATGGTCTGTGAGAGATATAGGGTAGTCCCATATACATCTTTCTGTGTATAGTGCTTGTAACTTTACGAAGAATGGGCAAAATTTCTTATCATTTTGATGATTCCAGAACCTTGCAGATGCTAGATGCTAGATGATCAACCTTTTCTGATCGATTCCACAACGTTTCTTTCACAATGCAATCGCATGACCATAACTGGTCTTTACCTTTAAGTAACGGGTCGGCAACGTACTAGATAGACTGGTAACCAAAACCAAATCAAGTTATGTGCATTGCCTGCATCAAGGTGCTGATCGGAGGGGGGGGGGGGGGGGGCGAATCATCCGCAGCTCTCCTTTTTTGGCGGCAGAAGAGAGAACGATGAAAGGAAACATGCGAAAATAAAGAGGGTGGAGGAAAAGGAGATAGACAGAGAGAGAGAGAGAGAGAGAGAGAAAGAAAGAAAAAAAAGCAAGGACATGAAACTTATATTTACACTTACAGATTACATTTCCGATGAGTTGGCTCGACAATAATAATTGTGGCAATGTGCCTCATAAGTCTGCGGACGAAAGTACAAAATATGGATCTTTATAATTATAATTGAGAAAGAGAGGGTATTTCTAAAATAAAATGAAAGGGAATATGTGACTTTCAGTATTTTCTATCCCTTCTTAATCCCCCTAAATTTAAAAAAAATTAACAATTTTCCTTAGAGTCCGCCCCCTATAGACTCCAAGCAAAGGCCCTGCCCCTG